CTTCAACGGCTGGGTGGCTGGTTGGCCTCAGCAGTAGAGTGAAATTTATGCTCTTTTGACAAGCTGAAACTTATTTCAGTAGATATAATACTTTCATTCTGTTATTAAAGGGTGGATTATTCTGCTTTTGGATTTCTTAGGCTTTTCTTTGAATAGCTCACAGTGGGCAATGTCAATAATGGGCAAGATGTGTGAATTCAGGTAACACCTACCTGCGTGTGAACACAGCTAAGCCATTAAACATCTATGTTTCGTCTTTTCTTATCTGTAAAATGGGGGCATAACAGTACTTATCTCACAAGTTTGTTATAATGGTGAAAGGGGTCATAAAATACATTTGCAATAAAATCTGGCTCAGAGTGTGTGCTTGATTCAGTAGTAGCTATCACTTTCACTACATTGCCATTAAACTTTTACTTGAGGCAAGCATGTAGCAAGCATAGTCACAGCTATTCAATTATTATCACTTAGTTTTTTTTCTAGAGCCCCAGGAGACATTATCATTATCACCCTTTCCCCTCCTAGCTCTATTACCAGGACTCAAAATCCCTCTTCTCATTCTTTTTCCTTGTTCAGGCTGCCTAGGCATAGCAAGAAACAAATATCTTGAAACAACTTGTGGACCTGGCCTGGAGGAAGCTTTTGTTATTTTCTACCCATAGTTCAGACCCTGAAAACATGTAGCCACTTGCCTATGTACAACACTGTCATTAACTGATGAGTGAAAGAAGTAGTTTTGAGTACTTTTGAGTTTCAAGGACATTATCATAGAAAATTTCTAGTTTCATTTTCAAAAGCAGTTTTCATTTTAAAAAGATGGTTCTCTCTCCAGGGCCTTCACTCAGAGATCACAAAAGCACAGCCTCTAACCCAACGGACAGAAGGCACCATTCTTGTTAAATGATATGAAAAGTACTTATCTGTGAAGTTTTTAAAAAAATTCATCTAGCACCAAAAGGACACAAAAACATTGATTCAAAAGAATACTTGTACCCCTGTGTTTATTGCAGCACTATTTATAATGGGTAAAATCTGGAAACAACCCAAATGCCCAAAAATAGATGACTGGATCAACAAGATGTGGTGTGTGTGTGTGTGTACATACACACACACACACACACACAATGGAATACTATTCAACAATCGAAAAGACAAACTCATGCCATTCGTAGCGACATGGATGGAGCTAGAAGGAATTATGCTCAGTGAAATAAGCCAGAAGGAAAATGAAAAATATCAGATGGTTTTACTTATAGGAGGAATATAGGGGACCCAAACAAGAGATCAGGGGGAAAAATAGCTATATAAAACATAACAAAAAACAAATTAAAAAAAAACCCAGATAATTATAAACCAGAGACATCCTGCAGGGGAGGAGGAGGGAGAGGAGTCAGAGGGAGGAAGGGAGGAGCACAGGGGACTGAGGTGATGGTGCATGGGTGCATTGGGGAAGGAAATTCTATGGGGACTACACCTGGGGGTGGGAAGAGAAAGCAAACATTGTTTAAAAATGAACAACAGGCCTCCCCGGTGGCGCAGTGGTTGAGCGCTGGGTTGCGAAGCTGCCCACGGCCTCTGCGGCAGCGGTTCGATCCCCGGCTGCTCCCCGGCCACCAGAGGAGGGTCCCACATGGCGCGCAGACCTCTCCTGCCGCCCGCTGCTCCCCTCAGCAGTGTACTTCGGTCCTTCTGCCTGCTCTGCTCCCCGCTCTGGCTCTGGTGAATTCTCTCACCCTCCCGCGCTTCTGACTGTACCCAATGCATGTATAAACAAAACAAACAAACAAAAAATAAAAAAAAAAAACATGCCTCTATTAAAAAAAAAAAAAAAATGAACAACAATGTAAAAAATATATAAATGAAAAAAAAATTCATCTAGCATAGAAATTTTCTCAGAAATGATTAGCCCTGAATTTTCTGTTAGAGAAAGACATCTGATTGAAAATTGTAGCTTTTAAGACTTGTAAAAAGCAATCTGAAAAGAGTGAGTCTCAAATAATACAAATACAGGAGCAGGCAACTCAATTTGATCAACTCTGTATCAGTCATGTTCTGAGCCTCTATGTTCTTCTTTACTCAATTCCTTAAAAAAAAAAAACAGTCAACACTGTACCCACATAGAAAGAACTCTAATTTTTTTTAGGACTAGTACGAGACGAAAACGAGTGTTCTAAGGACAATATTGATGCTGATCAGTAACCTACAAAGAGATTCCTATCTATGCACTTTGGACTTAAGTTCAAAGCCTCACCATTGAGCAATACTAACTATCCAACCAAAATAGGTACAAAGTATTCAGATAAGCATTTCCAAATTAAATGCCTTCAAAATTTCCCAGGAGCCTACCTAGTGCTTTATGTAGCTTTAAAAATGCTTTCCCTCACATTCTTGTTTTAAAATAACAAGAGATGTTAACTTGCACATCATTAGAGAGCTAAAAACAGCAAAGACAATACAACAATTTTGATCTTCTAGTTACTGGCTGTATCACTATTGTACACTGCCCTTCTAAAGCACCTCATGATAATCCTTCAGTTATTGCACTAAAAATTACTCGAAACAATTAAGAACCATATCATGATAAATCAGAATACACCTATCTATTTTAATTTCTCATGTCACTAGGCTTTTATAGCACTGGTCAGTAAGAAAAGATTAAATGTCCAGTGCTTTGCTTTAAAAAATGCAGCTAAATAAAACACTTGAACTTAATTCTATAAATGACCTAAGAGGGAAAAATTAAGTATTTAATAGGATAAAATACTCATTTCTTCAGAATACCAACTCTGAAGGTTTTGGTGTATTAGGATGAGGCCTTTTTAAAAAGAGAAACTTAAATGGATTGAGTATATTTTAAATGTTTTCCACTTTTACATTTGGATTTAGAAAAAAATGTAACTAAAGAAACCACTTTTACAGCTGGCTTGTTGAGTAGCAGGAGTGAAGGTCTTGCTGTCTGAACAGTGAACAATCATAGCCAGCTATGGCATCGGGTTCTATCACCCCATCACACAGCATAGTTTAAACTTGAACATTATCTCCTTAACAGCAGGTGCACAAAAATCCTAAGGATTTTTTTTTTTTTGGTACACATTTTGCACCATGGTGGTTCCTCTATGTATTTAGGCTTTGATCCAAAATACAACTGTAAAATATTTGTTTCTCTTGCTTCAATTTTAAAATCCAGGTTTAAAATAAAAACACTCAACTTTATAGACTTGCCAGGCACTACGTGCTCTGATTTAACAGTGAACAAAGTGGGTAAGGTCTCTGCTCTCATGGAACTTAGTTCTAATGGAGGAAAAACAGAAAAGAAAAATGAGTCAGGCTTTCAAACAGGATGACTAAAAGGTCACACCCATAGGGAATTTCACCAAGCACTGTAAGTAGAGCTGTAGGCTACTAAGTCAAATCTGTAAAAGAGGTTATTTTAACAACGGTGAAAAAGGCCTCACTGGTGGTGCAGGGGTTAAAGACACAGCGCTGTCAAGCTATCACCAGCCCCAGTCAGGGAGCTGACCCACAGGGCACAGCAGAGACCTGCCTGTTCTGCTCCCCACTCTGTCTCTGGTGAATCCTCTCACCTCTGCCCTACACCCCAATTCTTGTATGCATAAATCTTTAAAAAAAAAAAAGGTGAAAAACTTCCTCTTGCTCATTGTTTTAGGCACCCCTTCCTGTTCTCCAAATTTGCTACATAAACGATAACCTCTCTTTAATTCTGCTCCACTGAAATAGCTGTTTTAAAGAGCATGTCTTGACAGTAGGCCAAGAAGGAACCAAATCAGGGAGAAATCAAAGCTCAAAAGCCTGGGTAAAACTGCACACCAAGAGCGTGGGGCTCTGGAAGGACATTCTGTCCTGCTGGCTTAAAGACATCGTATATCCTTTTATCCTTTTAAACGAAAGGCCAAGGGGTTGCTGCTTGCAGCTAATATCTGTGGGGTGGTTTGGAGCCCCGGTTTCTTGAGTGAATGAAATTTCCAGGCTCAGGTCTCCACCAGGAAGGAATTACTAACTCCTCTCATGCCCTGTCCTTTTCTCCGAAACACTTATCACGCTGTTGGAAACGACACACTTGGGACTTTTTTTGAGTGGCAACTGTTCCTCCCTCAGGCTAGTTCACCGCTGTGTCTATCAGCGTTTGGTCCAGTGCCTGGCGCAGAGACTGTGGTGACGAAATACAACTAAATGAAACAGCACGGGGGGATGGAGAGGAAGAACGGCGCCTTCCTCTTAAGGGCTTAAAATAAAAAGAGGTGCATTACACCCGGGCGCTTTTCCATTCCGAGGCCAAGCAGTGTAGTTGGGGAGGTGGTGGTGGTGGGGGGGTAAGACCGGGACGAGGAAGATGCCGGGCGCCAAGGTCACGGGATGCTGAGAGCAAACCCCAGCCCGAAAGCGAGAGTCACGGGCGGCTTCCTCCCGGGCGCTTCCTTCCGCGGGGCAAATGGCAGCCGGGCGCCGCCCAGCCAACCCCCGCCGGCCAGCGGGACCATGACAGGTGTGTCCCGCCGCCCCCCAGGGCAGCTGGTCAAGGGCACTCGCGCCCCGGGCGCCGCAGCCAATGGGCGCGAGGCAGCCTCGCCGCCCCAGCCAATGGGCGCCAGACCCGCGGGGCGCCGCAGCCCGCGTACTCACCCCGCGCCCCCGCCCCCACGGCGCACAACCTGCGTCTCATGACCCCCCCCCACCCTGGAAAGGGAGTCCGGGTGCCCGGGAGGGCCACACTTCCTAACCTAGGAGAACGCGTTGGCCCGTTCTCCCGCGGTCCTCAGGGCAGGGGACCGGAGGGATGTAGGACCGCGGGGGGTCGCTGGTGAGGGGGGGCAGGTTCGTGAGGCGAAGGCGCCTAACCCCAGGGAACCCTCACCCCCGTGAGGCCCCGCGAAGCCAGGAAGGCGTGTGTGTCCGTGCGGGGGGATGTAGGTGTCCCAGGACCCCCGCAGCCCGGCGGGGCAGGCCCGTCGTCCCGGGTCTCTCCCCATCTCCCCGGTTACCTGGCTCTGGCAGAAGCCACGGCGGCGAGGCCCGGGTGGAAGGCGGCGGCCACCCCGGACAGGACGCGACCCGAGTGCAGCAGGGCCATGGCGGGCGGCGAGAGGGCAGTGGGGAGCTGCGGGACGGAGCGGAGGGCCGGCGGGCGCAGACACCGAGCCGCGGGTTCCTGCTGAAGGTAAGGACAGCGACTCGCCGGCCGAGGCTAGAGCGCCCCCGGCCCGCGCCGCGTCACAGCGCACCCTGGCGGCCGGCGCGGGGCCCGCCGAGCAGTGGGGCGCGTGGGCCCGCCCCGGAGGCCGCCCCGAGGGACCGTGTTGGTCGCGGTTCGTAGCGTTTGGCTGGTCTCGTTCCTTTAATTACTACGGGCCGGGCCGCCCTGGTGGCGCAAGGGGTTAAGATGCAACCTGTGAAGCTATTAGCACCCACTCTAGCACAAGTTCGAGCCCCGGCCTAGCCAGGGAGCTACCCACATGGCGCGGCAGACCTCTCCTCTCCCGCCCGCTGCTCCCCTCGGCAGTGTATTTCAGTCAGTCTGCCTGTTCTGCTCCCCACTCTGTTTCTGGTGGATCCTCTCACACCCCTTACCTCTGGCTTGTACCTCAGTTCTTGTATGCTGAAATAAAATAACTTAAATAACATAAATTAAATAACTCTTTAAAAAACATAATTACTACCGACCGGTCACAAGAGGTAGCCACCATGGTGACGGCTTGGAAACTGGAGACATGTGGGCTGATGGAATGTGAAGGGATTGGCCCAACACCATCAGCCAGTACCAGTGTGGCCAGCCCCAAACCTTCAGTCTCTGTTGCTCTGTGGTCAAGCCACTCCACTGTCTTCCTGAATGTTTATTTATCGCTGTTAAGGAGCAGATACCATGCCTATCTCTGGGGGCATCTGTGAGGATTAAGTGAGATTAGCCAGTCATGACTAAAAACAGGGTCTGGTTGACCAAGCACAAAGTTACCCATGGTTGTTAATGATAAAATTTGTGCTTGTCAAACCCTTACAGTTATGTGTGGAAGAGAATTCCTTTAAAAGGAAAAAGTGAATGTATTTGAGATACTAGAGGCTGCAGGAGTCAAATAAGCACTCTAGAAAATGGCAGTTTCACTGACTGTCTTTTTTATTTTTTAAAGATTTATTTATTTTATATAAGAATTGGGGTACAGGTCAGAAGCGCGGGAGGGTGAGAGGATTCACCAGAGCCAGAGCGGGGAGCAGAACAGGCAGACAGACCAAAGACACTGCTGAGGGGAGCAGCTGTCGAGGCAGGAGAGGTCTGTCAAGCCACGTGGGATTCTCCCTGGCGGGTGGGGGATCGAATCGGCGCTGCAGAGGCTGCAGACAGCTTCACAGTGCGGCGCTCAACCACTGTGCCACTGGAGAGGCCCTTCACTGACTGTCTTGAAAACCCCAGTCACACCATGCACCTTGCCAATTTAATTTATCCTCTGTGCTGTGGCAATTCTTGGATTCTTTTAGAGACCAACCGAGGGTCACCTTCTAGAACCTTAAGTGTCTAGCTCTACTTTCTGTCTCAGGCTCTTTTGTTTTCTCTCTGACCTCAACCTGTACTCCCACTTTCTGTTCCAGCGCTGTGTTGGTTTTCTGCGGCTGCCACAAACTGGAGTGAGAATGGGTTATGTCTAACAGTGAGATGGTCCTGAGTCTCAAGAGAAGTCTGTTCCTCACCATACTCAAATCTCACCATCATTGGTATTATTATTTAAAAAATTACCTTGACCACTGCTGGAAACTCTGGAGTTATGAAAGCTGCCTGGAATTGAGCTGTTGGTCACCACGGGTCAGTAAAGACAGAGTTTCACTGGGAAATCAGCCCCCTCCCCCCGCTCACTTGCCTGTTGAAATTATAGATTATAGAACCGTAGAAACTGAAAGGCTGTCAGGAACTCATTTGGGACAGGGCTTCTCACACTATAATGTGCCCCGGGACCTTGTGACAATGCAGATTCTGATTCAGGGGTCTAGGGTGGGGCCTGTGGTTATGTATTTCTAATGAGCTCCCGGTGAGACCTATGTTGCCAGCCAGCAGACGGATGTACAGGAGCATCTGTTTAGTCCATGCCCACCTATAAGTGTCACAGGAAGCCTGTGTCCCAAACTGCAGACTTCCCACTATATATATGGAAAATTTGAGACCCAAAGAGGGAAGTATTGCCTAAGGTCATACAACCAACTGGGACTTGAGACTAGAAACAAAGGCACAGATTTCAGCAGCAAATGCAGATAGCCTGGAGGATCCTGATTTGTGTCCAGCCCTGCGTCACCCAGGAGTTAACTTATGGCCTCTACTTCAGCCCCAGGTTATAGGATCAGTTCTGCAAGTCAGCCTTCAGGATGCTGCGAAGAAACGACCTAATCTCTTCAGACCTGAGGATTGAAGACCCTTGAGAAAGGGAGAGCTCTGCACACTCAGTCTGTATTGGGGAGCACCTGAGCAACACCTGGGGAATGAAGAAGCCGGAAGAGTAGGGAGCTGTGCTACAGAGGTAACCCAGGCTCAGAAGCTGTCATGGCCTTGAAGAGTTTTCCTGAAGTGGGGCAGGGGGGCCTGGCTAGGATACCTCTGCATGACTCTTCCTCCCAAACCTCCTCTCACCTCCTCCTTCTGAGTGACTTTGCCTGGGCAAGTGATTGCTTCAGTGGGACGAGGGGCAGGGTATCTGAGCTGCACCCCACAGCATCTCCTAGACAAGTGTTACGTGAAATGTGTGAGGAGAGAGTACTTGGGGGCCGTGTGTACCTGATATGTGTGTGTAGCTGTGTATGGACTTGCCTGTCCCAGAGTCTGTAGACACATGGGGTGACTGTGTTTGAGTATGGCCCTGCTGTGTTTTGCATCTGTGTGCATCTGTGGAATTCAGTGTGTTGTGTATCTCTGAGCAGATGTCCACACGTGTTCCGTGTCCTGTTGCTGAAGAGAACAGAGGAGCCGACTGGGCCAGAATGTGGATGCTGGGCTGCCTCAGTGGCCTTGGAAGGGGAGAGGATGGTACTGGGGGAGAGGGCCACTCTCATTTGCAGAAGTAGTCCTTTCTTTGGTCTGACCAGGATCTTTCATATCCCTACTACCCTTCTTCCAAACCCAGCCTCTGTCAGGGAATACAAAATCACAGAATGAGAGCTTGGATGGAGTAGGGGTATGCTGGAGACAGCACTGTCTCATCAGTCAGCCTCCCTTTGGGGAGGTAGGAGAGTGGAGTTTCTTATGATGCTGCTCCTCCTCAGGGTGGGGAACCCCTGTAGAGAATCCCTAGAAAATCTCCCTGAAGCCTCTCCCTCTAGCTGACCATGTCTCCAACACTTCTGTGTATGTGAAATACTCTGGAAATGTACACCCATCCACAGCCACCTGAGAACCGTAAGGATTTTAATAAATGATTTAAAACATACTTGACTCATTGTGTCCATCTATGATTTCCCATGTACAGTCTCTGGGTGTCTTTTTTTTTTTTAAGATTTATTTATTTATACAAGAACTGGGGTACAGGCCAAAGGCGCAGGAGGGTGAGAGAATTCACCAGAGACAGAGCGGGGAGCAGAACAGGCAGACGGACCAAAAACACTGCTGAGGGGAGCAGCAGGCGAGACAGGAGAGGTCTGCCACACCATATGAGTATCTCCCTGGCTGGCCAGGAATCAAACCCTCACTGCAGAGGCTGCAGACAGCTCCACAGCGCTGTGTTCAACCTGCTGCGCGCGACCAGGGTGGCCCCCTCTGGGTGTCTTGATTCCCCTTTGTTCTTTTCACCTGTTGGCTGGGATCCTGACAGCAGGGACCCCAGTTCCTGGACTAGCCCAGGTTCTGGTCTAGCCCACACTTACTGGCTGCGGGGTGGGCGGGGGGCAGGGCAGCGCCTGGGACAGCAAGTGCCCACTTGTACAGCGCTGTGCCAGAGGCCACTGTGCTAGACGCTGCAGGGCGGGCAAAGGCCAGACAGCCCTGTGGGTGCTGGTGTAACAGGGTGGTCCCCAGGAAAGGGGGAGGTTCCCTGCCCCACCCAAGGGAGGGTGGAGCTGAGCAGGAAGAGGAGAAGCTGAAGAAGAGACTAAGGAAGGAAGCAGGATGGAGCCAGGAGACCTGGAGGAGGCGCATGGAGCCTAGAGACACGTGAAGAAACTGTGCTTGTCTTTTGGTCGTGGACTGGGTAACACAGATGTGGGTGAGACCCATGGGGAGGTGACCATGGCAGCTTTTATTTTGATGTTGATTTTGCTCTTTTCCTTGTGGCCTTGTCTGGTAGTTTCTGACCCTTTTCTGTGGGTGCCCACTGGAAGATGCTTTAGACTTGTAGCAGGCTTTGGGGCCTTGCTCTGGGCCAATCCCATATGGATGGACTTTTACCCACGAGGGGATGGGTAACTTTGGGTGCTTCATTTAGAAACTAGACTCTTTGACTTACCTGTATTGTTTCCTAGTTTCATTAAAGTTCCTTCCCATTAAAGTCTCCTATGTTTTGTATTGATGCGGCGGATGGCAGAACCCTACATAGAATAGGCAGGTTTGCGGGGTTTGGGCTACCCCTCTCCCCGTCCTATAACACTGGGTGTGGGAGTTATAGGAGCCAGAGTGGGAAGGCGCTGGGCACCAGAAGAGGGGAGGAGGCAGCAGATGAGTAGGACCTTGAAGGAAGAAGAGGTGTTTCAACATGAGCTCTACTTCCTAGTTCTCTGTATTGGGGAGACCAGGTCTGGGCCCTGTTGTTCTCATTTTGTGTGAGTGTGGGCCCCAAACAGTGAGGGGACTTACTGGGGGCACACAGAGCACCTTGGTATGGTGCTTTTATCTCCTAAGTTCTGTCCTTTCTAGCTGACTATGCTCCATCCTCTCTGCCCTATCCGTGGGGGTGTGAGGACAAGGTATCATAGCCAGGGCTGAGAGGTGAAGGTCTGAACATATTCCACCCACAGATCCCAAATATGTCATCCTTTCACCTATCCTAAGACCAGACATGCTCATTGTTGAGTCACTTCTGACTTATCTACTTATTTCCTTAAGCTAAAAATCTGAGTCATCCCTTGATCTGGCTTTCACTGGCTTCCCAGATTCCCCAGTTCATCTCTAGAACATGTCAGGACTGCTGCTGCTGCTAATGCCACTAAAACCTTTATTTCTCATAATAATTGCATGAACTTGTTGCCCAAATTTGGAATTAGCAGCAGCTGTCCCTCCTGACCAGAGGAAGTAGATGCCTCTCTCCATCCACATGGCTATGCCACCAGCCCTCTCTAGGGTCACACCAGAAGCCCCTCACTAGACTGTTAGATCTAGTGTTGCCCCTTTAGGACATTCCCTACAGAGCAGCTAGTGGGATCTATTGAAAACAGACCAATCATGTCTCTGCCTTGCTTAAATCTTTTAAGAGGCTCCCTAGTGCCCTCAAGATCCTTGCAGGATCTTCCCACTGACAGAGCAGATGCTGACCTCCTCCCATGTTGCAGATAATCCACTGCTGCATCCACACTCTGTGGGCCCCTTTACTGTCTTGGTGTTCTCTGTCCCACGTGTGCCTTCACTCTCAATAGTCAGCCATTTTGGGGCTCCCTGGTGGCGCAAGGGGTTAAGCACAGCACTATGAAGCTGTCCGCAGCCACTGCAGCACAAGTGTGATCCCTGGTCAGCCAGGGAGCTACCCACGTGGCGCAGACCTCTCCTGACTCGCCTGCTGCTCCCCTCAGCAGTGTATTTCAGTCAGTTTGCCTGTTCTGCTTCCCACTCTGTCTATGGTAAATCCTCTCACCTCCCTCACCCCCTGGCCTACAGCCCAGTTCTTGTGTGCATAAACAAATTTTCAATAACAACAAAAAGCAGTCAGCCATTCTGTGCCTAGAGTATATTAGACACCCTAAGGGGACATTGCAAAAAGGGCAAACACAGAAGAATAGGCTGCATCTGCCACGAGCCAGTGAGTGTCCTGAAGGAGTGTCTTTGGGTTGTCTAAGTTGCTACTGCCAGGAATGCAGAACACAGACTCCCAGCTGGGATTCAGGAAAAACCACCTGGAGGAGAAAACATGTGACCAGAGTTGAGAAGAATGTGCATAATGAGTAAAAGTTTATTAAGCTAAAAAAAAAAAAAAAAAAAGGCTGTTTGTTACCTGGATGAAGTAGCAGCACTTGTCAAGGCTGGAAGATGCCAGAGAATCAGGTTCAGATAATCAGACCAAGTGAAGATGCAGCCAGGTATTACAACATGAGTTGGGGAGGGTTAGAGATGCTCTCTTGCTCCCCAGTAATGATTTTTTTTGGGGGGGGTCAGGGTTATCAGAGCCATTTTACAGGAAGAACATTCTGAGGCCCAGAGAAGTCACATGATAGGCTTAAGGGTCACAGATCAGGAAAGTCAGTGCCAATTCTATGATGTTTCTCCCTGCAAGTCTGTGGCCCTAACGGGGTGACCGAGGGGCTTTAGACAAGGCTCTGACCTCCTTTAGCTGAAGTGTGGAGGGCAGGGAGAGGGATGCCCTTAATGACCTCAAAGCCAAGACTGTACTGGGACAGGTTCCCTGTGCTCATTGGGTAAGAGGATTTGAGCTCCTCCTAATTGACTGGAGAAACAGAAGCCAATGTACACATTCACATATTTTAGTCCCCCCAAATAAGTTGTACTAGTATTCTAAGGGCCTCAAGAAATAGGAAGAAAATAAGAACAAACTTTGAACTTGAAGCTGTTCTACGGCCTTTAGTCTAAGCCATTGGGTCTGGTTCCACATCCAGGCTCAGGTGTTACTCTCATTGATTTTGTGGGTTGAAGTCAACATTTTCACATAAATGAAGCTTCTTGATTTTTTTATTATAAAAATGGATCACAAACAGTCCAAGCTATTGATTTAGTAGACATAGGTTGTCCCCAGAACTGGAGCGAGCACTTCCCAAAGAGTAAGGGTGCCATGAGAGTGGGCATTGACCAGAGGGATATTGTGCAGCCTCCTTGAAAAGGCCCAAAGGGACTTGAGCTCTCTCCACCTCCAGCTATTGCTCATTGGAGGCTGAAGAGACCACAGTTCCCTATACAGGACCAGTTGGCTGCTGTCCCAGGTCACACTGACCATGGAGTTGCTAGATTAACAGCTGCCCAGTTGCCACTTATTAAGAATGAAACAACAATCTCAAATTTCATCAGAGCACAGAGACCCTCTAGCTCAACATCCTCACTTTTCAGATGGAAAAATGCAGCATTCAATTAGGAAGGTGACTTGCTCCAAATCAAGAGTAGGTTTGTGATACTGGCAGAAGTAGATTCAAAATTTTCCAGATTTGAGACCATCACTCTTAGTAGGTTTAGCTGCCTAGAAGGCAGAAAAAGACTCCTGGATCCATATTTTTCTTCCCATCTGATTACTAAAGAAGAGCTGTCCAGGAAGTGTGAAAAAACAGAACACTGGTGACAGTAAGAACATTGGGAAGCTCATTTATGGACTTCCATGGTCTTGTGCTGATGTGTGTGTAATTTGCTGGCATGGCTCTGTAAAAACAGACCTCTCAGTTGCTTACATCCCCTGATTCAGGAGTGGCAGTGTAGTCCGTAGCAGTCAACAAGACCATCTGCATTCACAGCTGAGCCTGAAACGTTGGACTCAGAGATGATAGTAGTGTCAGAGATGTTGGGAAAAAAAAAAAAGGTTAATGTGGTGAAGATGCTTAGATTACCTGGTCCAACATTTCCTACAGTCCATCCGATGGATCCTCATTTGCTGTCATGAGGACAGAAGGGTCCTGTGGTCAAATGAAATTTGGAAACTTTGAGCTAATTCAAATCCAGCACATTTCTTTTCTGCAGAACCTCTCAGTGTTTTTGCTATATGCTTTATAGATTTCTAGGGAGGGAGAGAATTTCCCAGACTTGTGTCTCCAAAACGCTTTTTCCTCCCGTATGATTTTAAAATCAATTTGTGAATTGCTGCAAAGAAGCAAGCTGAAATTTGGGAGGGACTGTATTAAACCTGTAGATCAGTTTGGGGAGTATTGCTATCTGAAAAATATTATTTTCTCATCCACAAACATAGGATTTCTTTCCATTTATTTAGTTCTTTGAAAATCTCATGTCTTGTACTTTTCAGTAAACATGTGTGCTTATTTGGTTAAATTTATTTTTTTAAGTATTTTATTTTTTTATGCTATTACATGGGTTTTTTTTTAACTTTCATTTCTGGATTGTTCATTGTTAGTGTATAGAAACATAGCTAATCTTTATAGATGGATCTCATATCTTGCAATTTGCTAAAATTTGTTTATTCTCTAATTTTTTAATAGATTCTCTGGGGTTTTCTATATACATAAGGACATGGCATCTACAAATGGACATAATTTTACCTCTTCCTTTTTGATATGGATTTCTTAATTTTTCTGTGCGTAGCTGCTCTAGCAACGTTGTTTTGTGTTT